TTATATAAAATAATTAAAATTATATATTAAAAAATATTCTTAAATAGCATATAATTATATCTAAATAATTAAAATTACTTTTAAAAAAAATTTATATATAGTATGTTCATGTATCTACATTTTTGCACTGGATCATATTATATAATTATATTTATATAATTAGAATTAGAATTAGAATTTTTTAAAAATTTTTTATATTGAGTATCTTTGTGTATCAGTTTGTATTATATAGAAAGACAAACAAAAATAAATTTTAATATCTCTTTATAAATGACGCGACATAATTTTTAATTTTGATATACCGGGTGTCACATGAGTATACAATCTAGATCACGGTTATTTGATAAATAGAATCATGATATAATGAACAAGCCAGGATCCCACTAAATCAAATTTCACTTGTAAATACAAATTTTTCCTTTTTTTAAAAATGTAGTTGTATAATTATAATGATAATAATAATTCGAACTATAACCTCTGCTTACGAATCTTTGTAATATTAAGTTTAAGTTTTGTTCGATAGCTCATAAACCTATTGAAGCCAACTCTCGAATTTGATTTAAAAAAACAGATTATGGAACTGGTTTATTAGAACTTTTCCTATCATTAGCTCTAACCAGCTATTAATTATCAGTTTTAAGCCAACACTAGGTTTAATTGGTTATAAACTAGTTCTAATTTACTTATTTAAATTCTTTGGTGCTAGTCGGAATTTGGACCTGTTCAGAATAAAATCACATGAAAAGTTAAACTACCGATTCCAATTCCATAAGATAGCTTAGACCGATTGTAAACGCAAGTTTCGTGATCCGGAAATTTAATAAAATTCGGGGCTGTGGATTTCTCTTTCGACGGAATTCATAAACAAACATTCTATCTACCATAAGGTTAGAATGAACTCGTCAAAAATCCCAGGAATATTGATAAACGACCTTGTTCTAATTACAGTTTAATAAGTAACTGAAGGCAATCAATTTCCGAGATCATCGATGGGAACTAGTCTTTGCATTTTTGTATATCAAAACTATGTGAGCTGAGAAAACCAAAATCACTAGAGAGAAGGAAAAAATCTTTATGCTTTGGCTTTGTCTCTTATGTAATTATAATTTTTGAAAAATTTGTAGACGAGATCGATATGTTTAGATTTTGGCAGAACAATGGCTGGCTTTTCTTCTTAGGTCGAGCATCTCAAGCTTACTATTGACTTATGAAAGTCTCTAGTCTTACACTATTTTGACAGTAAGTATAAATGTCAGCAACAAACTTTGGGAAATTTGAAAGTATTACGTCGACATTCAAGACAAGACAATTATTGTATTTACTATTTTATTCAGTATTAATATGATGATGATAATGTTAATTTCTTTTCCTACGCTCCGCTACGGCTTGGTAGTAACACACGAAAAAGACATTAAGGCAATAATGCTTTATGTGTAGGAAGAATTCACCAAGAAAAACTTCAATCTATCCGTTTTTCGAATATTAAGGTTTTCTTGGATTGTCTTGATTTCTTTTATTGTATCTTTTTTTCTAAAATTCTTGTTTAAGACAGTTGCTCTAAAGAAAAGAAAGAATATTATCGCACAGGTAAAAATCAAGAATATTGAAACACGCCCATTATAGATGTTTAATTTAATTTGTGGAATAAATTTTGATACTTAGATTTTTGTATATTATTGGCAAGTTAGGTTGCTATTTACTATGCTATAGCGAGTCTATAACTGAAATTATTTTATTGGTTTTTGACTCTGTCAAATGTGGTTATTATACTGAAACTTTTGTTTTCCTCCAAAGATGTCTATTATGTATGCATATCGTTATTATCTAAACAATCAAAACAAATAAATAATGAATTTGATTCCTAATTCTCGTTTCAAATTTATGCAATTGTTTTGCATAAAGGGACATCTTTCTTTTCCATTTATGGTTGCCGTTTTGATAATCAAAACTTTTATATCGAATTAGATTCAAAAAATAATTGGTTCTTGAAAAAGTTAATGTTAAAATTTTCAAAGATTCAAGCTATTGATCAAATTTTGTCGTTTCATTATCTTTACACAAGAAAAATATATTTTGATCCTTTGCAATTTAATTGGTTAAACTACAAATTACTTCGCTTGTTGCATAACCATTTAACGATGCTGAAACTAGCCAAACTCAGGAGAGATCTGTTGGATAAAATGATCGAGACACATTGCAACATAAAGAATAGATGAACTAGATACCATTTAATATGTTTCACCTGACTAAGAAATTCAAGGAGGAAATTATTTGCGTGTTTCATTGAAAAAATTCTGACATTTCTTGTCTTACAGACATCAAATTTATTAATTACCATATAGAGTTAGACATTTCGTAAACCACTAGTAAAATTAAGCTAATAAATGTTCTTCATAGCTGAAAAAAGAAAGCGAAGCCAACATTGTGCTCATGTATAGCTAATCATTGTCATTTTTGTAGGTGAAAAAAGGCCGAAACTTTGATCAACAAAATACGACCACAAAGAATTACATGTACAATGGCTACAATATTTGTACAATTCAACAATTATCCGAGTTGATAATTATCTTGTTAGAAATTTTCTATATAAACACGACTCGTTTTCAACTTTTCTTCATTACCTTTCTTTTGATAAGAAAAAATAAAAGATAATTCTTTTTAATTCTGCTTTCCCTTTAACATTTAGAAGCTGCGCTTCATTCCCCTCCCCGATCTAATAATTTGCTAGTCAGATTATACACTATTATTCAATTTCGAAATTTGCAAAGCTAGGAATATATACAATTAAACATATCAAAAACAAAACAATAAAAATGAACTTTAAGATTTCACTCTCTTTCGCTCTGGTTAGCGCATTCTTCTTCATAGGAAATGTTGACGCACACGGTCGTCTCGTAAGTAACAATAAATTTTTGCTGAAATATTGATTCGCACGCTAAATTAGAACAATTAAATTAATTCTATTTTCTTTCGTAAATTAACCTTCAGACTGTGCCACCGATTCGTCTTGCACCTAACGACGCGGACTCTGATTACACAATAGCTCGCAGTCCAACAAAAGGTCCCCCTTGTGGCATGCTTGATAGATCAGCGGGACCTGTAACGACTTATAATTCTGGCGCAAATGTTCCGTTTACATGGCAAATTACTGCAGCACATTTAGGCACATGTTATCTTGAATTTTCGCCTGGAAACGATGCCAACTGGCAAGTTCTTGATACGAATCCTCATTGTGCTGATACAAATGGTATCTTCAGTGGCAACGCACAATTACCAGCTGGTACCACTTGTGACGCATGCACTTTAAGATGGCGCTGGGAAGCTCATAACACTGGAGAGGAATATATTAACTGTGCGAATATTCAAATTGGTGGAAGTTCCGCACAAAACCAACCAAACCCATCTAACACTACATCTGCAACATCCCCTTCGACCACTCCAACTTCGACTATTTCTACTTCGACCAATCCTACTTCGACCATGTCTGCTTCATTCAAAGCAAACTCATCTATCACTACATCTGCAACATCTACTACGACCAAAGCAGCTCAATCGTCTGTTAGTGGAGACATGACAACTGAACCAACTCAACCACCTGCTATGACAACTCAACCAACTCAATCAGCTTCATCTGCTATGACAACTGAACCAACATCTTCCATGACAACCGAACCAACATCTTCCATGACAGCTAAATCATCTGCTGCTAACTCAGGTGAACCAACTTCAACCAAATCAGCTCCGACTGCTGGAATTTCATCGCTGCCTCCAGCCATGACCTCTGGCATTCCACAGAAACCTCACGGAAAACCCAACTGTGTTCAACATAAAGGTGCTACTTACTGCAGAAAAAACCATGGTTGCAGTCGTAAAAATCCTCAAGCTTGCATGAAGAAAGACGGTGTTACCTTTTGCATGAAAGGTTGTGACAAAGGTTCTAAACATTAAATGTCTTGAATGCTTTTACTTTGTATATATTCGATATTAAATGGCAGGATTGTTTTATAAAATTATTTAAATCGGGAATTTGTCTTATACTAGAAATATTATATAGCAGTTAGATTTCAAAGAATTATCTTATATTTTATTAAATTTATCAAAAGTCAAAAAAAAACTCTTTCGAGTTTCTAAATAAAATTCGCGACTTTATGTAAATTTTTAAAGCAGAGGCTATTTATTCTACATGGATTTATCGGATAAGTGTGAGTTGGACGGAGAATATTCGTTTTTGAAAGTTGTCCATTCAGATCAGTATCTTTTATTGGCCAAACCAAAAAAATATTTTGCAAATATTCATCAATGATATCTTGATACAAAATTTGATTTACACATCAAAAAAAGTCAAAAACACATTCGTATATAAACAAATGTTCATGATCGTAGTGAATATATCAAGTTATACACGTAAAAGAAAATGATCGTTACGATAGATTATAGACAAACCAGTGTGTGACAAAAAAACTTAACTATACTAAACAAAAAAGTTATAGAATAAAATTTATTAGGCTTAAAAATTGATTTATTTATCTTTGCTTTCAATAACTAACTTACAATAATATCTTATTAAATTTATTAAATTATTTAAAATGATTTTTGGAATAGAATCTCAATTTTCTATCAAAAACCTTTTTAAAATATTCAAATTTTTAGATATTTATTTCTTAACATTACTCTTAATAATTAATTAATAACATTTTAATAGTAAATTTTGCAAGAATATTTAACTTTAATTCAGTAAAAAATAATATAAATTAAGCTAAAATTAATTTATTATCTAACATGATCAGCAAATAGTTAAGTTTTTTTGTAAAATACGCCAAGTCTAATAAATGATAAGATTGATACACTTTTTTTTGTAAAATTACGGGTTATCTAGTAGTCAAAGTTTTCTCCTAAATTTAATGAATTATTAGAATTCTTCTAGAAAATTCGGCTTCCGCTAGAGATTCACAAAAAAACAACTATAGTTTCAGACGAAATTTTTTGCACTTCTTATAATGAATTATTCTTCATTATCTAAACCTTTAGATTAGCTTAAAAATTCTTAATATCTTTATTAAGTTAGGAATTCATAAATATATCTTAAAAATTAAATGTTTGGGTTGGCTTGTGATAATATATCATCATACCGAATTTTCAATATAATAAATAACGGAATTATTATCGATTTCTCCGTTATTCGTCAATCGACAAATCAACTGGGGATTTTTTTATTATAACTTTGTTCAATTCTATCTTGTGATACGTTGATTTTCTTTAATCAAAGTAAATATGAACACTGGGCGAAGATTATTTTTATGAGTAACATCAAAACAAATGTTCGATGAGTGTAGTACTCTGGAAAGTAACGAACGAAATAAAATTTATTTCTGAAATTCATATAAACAGGGCTTTATTCTTTAAAGCATCAGTATTCAATATATCACCCGGAACATTTCTTAATTCCGGCCAAAGGAATTTAGTGCTAGTCAAAGTTGAGATCGATTCTTCCGTGTCCTATAATACAAGTGCGGACGCGTGCTTTCAGTGTTCACCAAACATCGTAATGCCTACATCAATAAAAGGTTTGAATGCACCAAAAAATATCTCTTCTGCCTTTTTTACTAGCAAGCAAAAATCGCCTGTGGCATATTCTGTTTTTTTAATTAATTTTCTTTCCGCGTCTGCTTGAGAAATGTTCGAAATTCTCTATTGAGAACTTGATTATATAAAACTATATTAAATTAAACACATTTTGGCTACGGTCACAAGAGACTTTATAAACGAATAATCAATAAGTGGATGTTTGAAGTTCGAATTTTATGAAGAAAGGATTAGATCATCCACAAAAATGAATAAACGAAGCAATTTTGGAAACTCCAATAATATTTAACATGATAAGAGTTATAATAAATAAAATTAAATAAAATATACGTGCCCTATAATAAATTGCCAGAATATCAAAAAAATAGTAAAACATAATAAATTTCTCTATATATATTTTTTCAAATTTTTGAAATTTTTTCTGAAAAAATTACTCTGATTTTAAAGTAGTATCCCAAATTTAATTCAAGCTTGAACTTGAACCAGACTTGAACTTGTATTTTAATTCAAGTTCAAAAAATTTTGAACTTTAATCAGATCAAGATTTTGAGTTTGATATAATTTGCTTATAAGCATAAAATATATTTATTATTCAAAATTTTTGACTTCAATTAGATAAAATTAGAAATTTTTATGTATGAAATATATATAAAATTTTTATTATATTTTGAAATTAATTTTTTTAATATTTTAATATTATTTAATAAATAATTTTATATATTAATTAAAGTTTATAATTTTATTAGAATATAATTTTTATTTTTATATTAAAATAAATCTATAATATATAATTTAATATATATTTTTTCAGATATTAATATTATTTAATAAATAATTTTATATATTAAAGTTTATAATTTTATTAGAATATAATTTTTATTTTTATATTAAAATAAATCTAATATATTTTTTCAGATTTTTTAAATTTTTTGAAAGTGTTTTCTAAATATAAAGTTATTATAAAATTTTTTAAATTTAATTAGAAAAAATCTTGATAACTTTATAATTAGAATAATTCTCTCAAAAAAAATCCGAAAAAAGTATTTAAATTATAATAAATCTTATTTTAATATAAAAAATTATTTCTTAATAAAATCATAAACTTTAAAAAATTTACTATATTTTATTAATAAAATTGATTTACTAATTCTATACTTTTATTAATTATTATTCAAAAAATGTAAAAATTTATATATATAGAAATATATAATAAATTTCTTTAAGCTAAATTTTACATAATCTTAATCAAAATTAAAGTCTAAGTATTAAATTAATTAATTTAAAGAGATTCATTTATAGAATTAAAAGAAATATAATAAAAATTAAATTTTATTAACAAATTTGTTCACTGTTGTATTTCTTGATTGCTATTACAGTCTATATTAATTTTGTTTTAATGAATTTGCGGTGAGTCAAGCTATCCAGAAGTGAATGCGTCATTCCGTCGGTTCATCTATCATCATATTATCTGATACATCTGTTATTGTTTGCAACGATAAAAAAATGATTTATGGTACAATGACCTTTTCAAAAGATATGGACAATAACGATGCACATCAAGTCTCTGATATTGACATTCAAGAAGATAAGAAGCAATCCAATACAGCAGGCAGAAAAAAAGCCAAAGGACTTGCAGAAGAACCAAATGCAAAAAGCCGTTTTAGACCCAAATCAGGGTTTAAAATATTCTAATAAATTTTGCTTGAAGCTCAATTAAATTTATATTGAGCTTCCGTTAAATTTTGTCTTAATTCACTTTCTATTTATTGAATACTAAAAAAATCAAAATTTATTATATTGTTTTGAGCCTTGAGAGCTATGTTTGACCTACGCATTATTGAATTCTATCTGAATGATAAATTCATTGACCACCTGGTCAACAAATTTTTTCTTGTATTTGATTGATTCTCAATAATCAAAAATTAATTTACTTTTAACTTGGAAGAATTTTGTCATTGAATGATGAGATAACGCAAGCAAATTTTTTGATTTGACATTTTTTGTATATCAGGTTGGACGTCATAAAGATGACTGTCGTATAAGAGACAAAGATTACATAGCAATGATAATGATCATATTATCTTAAATTTAGGCAAAATGTTCTTTCTTCACTTAGTTACCGACAATCGTACCTAATACTTCATACCATGCATATTTTCTGTAGTATGAGACTTATCCTACTAGTTTGTTAGGAATCATGTTTGATCCAAGGAACGCGGCAATGGCAAACAAACGCATGATAACGAATACTTTTTTGATCGTGATGATTTTGCATTTTATTATGTTTTAGAATTCTGTCGATACGATAAGTTAAAATGGTTCCCTGATGGCAAGCAAATATTTTTCAACGATATTTCAAAGAAGCAGGAGTAGTCTCGCTCGAAGATTTGGAACTTGAAATAGACTATTTTCAATTTAAAACGTCATTAATTTTGGATTGTACGTCAATGGTTCAAAATTCAGTAATGAGGTTTTTACTCAAACTTTGGAAGAATTTGTTTATACAATGTTCCAAAAATCTTTTTAGATCGAGTATTAGCTTCCCGAAATTGCAAAAATTCGTCAAAATCGCGCATGCAATTGGTTATGAAAAAAGGCTGAGAAACAAAATATGCGGATACTTTAAAAAGCCATTTCTACGGATCATGTTTGATATTATTTAAGTTTGATTAAATTCTCAAGCTAACGTCAATTTTACACTGCAAGAAGACGTCAAATTTATTATTTTCCAATCGATTAAACTAGAAGCAAGCTGCAGAGTCCCCATTTAGGCGATATAAATATTCTAGCAAATTTTACGAAAGAAGATAAAGCAGTTAGGGGGACACTATAAGTTAGCGTTAGTAGAATTTAATGATTTTCATTTACGCACTTCTAATTTCAGCCAAAATATAACGATTGAATGTTCACTTGTGTTACTTACTAGCACAATGCGACCCTAGTTGATTATGCCAAATTTAGTTATTCATTGGCTAGAATGTCTTTCTATGAAGAAAAACATGCGCCTCTTTCGGGGCTTAGCGCAGAAACTCTCTTAAAAAGTAAAAATCTAATACGCATATTGTTCGTCACCTAACAACTAACGCCTTCATACTATAGTTAAACATGGCTCTATATAAAACTTCCATGATTATAAAGCTCCATTACATTTATACCCGTTTCTTTATATTATTATTATTATTTGTTTATGTTTTGTTATTGTTTTTCTTTGATTTTGCTTCTAAACTGTTCATCCCCTTCTGATTTTTCAAATGAAATGACCGATTATTCTATATTAATAAAAAATACACAAACAACAATGTGCCCTCTTTTGAGATTGTTTTATCAAAAAAAATATGTATGTTGATGATTTCCTATTGCGATTATTTTTCTGAGTAGTGATCTTGTTTTTTGTTCGGTTATTTGTTTCCCGCCCAATTTTCACAAATTGGTTAGTTATCATATTGAATTCTTGTCTGAGAATTTTATTCTTCAATATGCTCCAACATTATTTACACACACACATTATTCTTTGAAAGGATTCCTTGGGGGTAAAATAGAATTTATAAGTTAAATATAGCAATATCTTACTTTGGTGAAAAGTGCAACCAATGCGATAGTTTACGGAATTTCTGATAAGCTGTCAAAATTTAATCAATAACAGCTATCCTAGAAAAAAAACCTGTTTCCAACAAGTTTGACAGCCACTAGTAATAAAAATACCGAACAATTGATCAATTATTCAAAAAATCCTGAAATTAAAACTTTATACCCCACATTGAAACACAAACTACGCGATAAAGGATACACGCGTAATAGCGTTAATGCTTGTCAATTTAGCACTGCATATGAGTTGACGTAAAAAAAGATTTTCTCAAGTCAACAAAAAAAGGAACAATGTTATTTGTTTGAATAGAAGGATTGTTATAGAAATATGATCGCTGTTTTGAGTGAAAAAATGAGTGCGTTAATAAAGTAATAGATGAATGAATAAATGAATGAATGTAAGGAAGAATAATATATATCGCTCAAGAACAATTGAAATGTTTGGCGTTTTTCTCTCATTATTATTATTATTATTTTGGGGACGAGGGATAATTGAGATTTCGCGCATTAATGCTATTTGATTTGACCGTTTTGATAGTTTGAGGCCCTGATTAACACGAAAACAAAGACTCACGGTGCATACATAAGAAATCTATTCCTGAGAAGAGAACAATGTGTTGGTTCACAATGTATCTCTATTCTTCAAATTTTAAAGTATATATCTTTGGTTAGTTTGTTTTGATTAGTTTTGTGTAAGCGTGTGTATGCTTCGTCGAATCAGAGGAAATTAAGAATGATACGTAAGGAGGACGGGACTAAAGAGAACAATGTGTTTTAAAAATTTATTTATTTATCGTTATGTAATATAATATATGCGACGCGTAACGAACTCCACGGCGTATAATCATGAATGGTCAATATGGGAAAATAGCTCTGCTATCAACGATGTGATTATTGAAGGTAGGTCAATATTTGGGGCAAGCATTTGAACCTTGATGTGACAAAGTCGCGTCTTATTGAAATGCTTTTGTGCTTTGTGCTTGTGCTAGAAATTATTCATATGTGATGAAATCCTGCATTAACATATCTAGATTATTAGCTAAATTTCCTAAATGAAATTCGTAAGAGATTTTTATTTTTGATCTTTAATAAAATCTTCAAAACATATTCGCATCTCGTAGATGATTACTATGATGTCTATTGTAATATATTTTTGTCAAATGAGATTTTGAATTTTTGGCGCAGCCGACATTTTCGCCTAAATAATTCATGTGATCAAGAATCTTCATTACTAATGAGATGAGATTACTCAATTAAAAATTCCCGATGACGTTTAGAAACTTGAGCGATATTATTGAGATGATAAAACCAGTCTTTGTAATCATCTTTACCAAATGGAATTTCAATTAGATCAACCCGCTTTTTTTTTTCCTAACTACTTTGTGAAATCATTCAAAATAATTAATAATTTATAACTCACAAAGAAACGAAGCCACGAATTATAAATACCACATATGATAATACTTTAAGGGTTTATTATCAATTAATAGCTTAGCGTTTTGCTCCGAGATCTTTGTTCTATAGAAATCATCATGTCTATAAAAACGTTACCCATGTGATCGGAGAATGCGTGAATCCTCGCCATCATGATGATGTCTAAGAGCGGTGATATGCAAAGATTTATAACATATATATCATTGACAATAAGTAATGTGTGAAAAAAAACCAGCATGACTTTTTACAATACCATAAACAAGGTTTTTTTCTTCTAACCTGTAATTAACCTCTTCTTTCTTGTTTCCATCTCTTTAATTAAAATTTTTAATTACTTGCATCAATCGACATTGACACGCGTATCTGTATGTTGCATTGTTAGAGAGAGGAAAGCGGTAAGGGAATAAAAATAAAATTACCATAGCATATTCGTTTTTGGTCATGAATAAAAAAAATGGCAATCATGCCTAAAGGGAGATAATTCGTGTGGATAGATAGACAGTATCACATTGGTGTACCGGGAAATCACACCCGGAATTCAGGCTCTCGAACTATCAATAAAATGATTTTATGTCAATAGTAATATAATTGAGGTAAGTATGGTGAATGTTATGATATCTATTATTGTCGTAATTTCTTCTCTTGATTACTATATTTAAAAATAACTAAAAACACTAGTGAAAGGAATTAAAGTTAAATTAAGTGCAGGAAAGTTTGGTCATATCTCTGCAACGTGGCTTCCACTTTAAAAGAAAATCTCTCATGCTTATTCAGCATTGTCACCTTTTGACTATTATTTTTCTATTGCACGAACGGAAAGCATGGTTATTAAAACTGTCGCGAATATCCTCTTGTTGTACTTTATCAAATTATACGTTACTCAAAGGATATGCGCTGTTGATCTTTTTAATATCATCTACATCGGAGTATTGCGAAAATACTTTGGAACCAGAATCGGAGTTTTACTCAGCTTTTTTTATGGTAATATCACTAAAAGTGATTATTCAGCTCGCGATGAAGAGTGGCTGGAATTTTCTTCAATGAGCGATGAGAAGCCAACCTGATTCAAAAGGGAACTATTGGCTGTTTCCATTCTAATACTGGGCGAAGTATCTTTTTTTAAGCAATTATCGGGTCTCTATCCAGTTTAATTTAAAAGGGAATCTTGATCATCTTTTCATCATTTTTCATAAAGGAGAAGGGAAACCAGCTATCGTTATATAAAAAGCAACGGAACAGAACTAAACAGTATGATGACGGTATTCGAGTAACAGCACTGTAAAATACCCGTATCGATGGACAGTAACACAATAACAGTTACCTTGCATATATAAGTTGTGTTTCGCATTAAAAGGTTATATATGTATTTATTATGTCATATAAACATCCCCATGCTTATACATGTACTAGAGTTATCTTCCGATGACGATGATAGGAGGATGAAGAGAGAGAGAGAGCTAACCATTCATTACTTACCTTTTTTTATGAAAATTTAGTCTAATCGATCTATACGATTTTCTTTTTTCAATGATCTGACTGATAATCGGAATATCGCGACCGAACGAGTGAATGTTCTTTCTTTTATTTATTTATTTATTAATTAATAATACATAGTGAAAAGAATTTTATTTTACGATCCATTGAACAAAAAAAATATTTACGCTTATCACTATGTCTCTCTGTGTATGTTTACTTTCAAGTATCGGATAACGCAGTAGAAATGATAGAAATGATTCGGATCTAGATACTTTATGAATAGATAAACTGATATCACTAATTGATCGGTTGTGCTTTGACTACGAAAAAAATCATCTCATATATCAAAACACAGGAGAAGTGTTGAATCTCGCATAATACAAAATTCGCTAATGTCTTATTACTATTATTACTACTGATAATATCCATAAATGTAATAGATTCTGTCACATGGTATTTACAATAGAAATTAATATTAATCATAACGGTAAATAAGATAAGCGCGGGAAAAACGTATACACATTATATGCAAGCTTTAACAAAACATTAATCAATTGTCTGAAATGGAAATTATTTTTTTTTGTTTATTTATTATTTATACGTTTTATGTTTGTTTATGGCGGGTTGTAAAACTGGAGGGAAAAAAAGGGTCTGTTTATTTTTTTTTTTCGATTTGTTGTTAGGTTTTTTATAATTTAGGTTTCTAAATTTATTTCCCTCAATGAAATTTGATTATATTATCCCTTTAAACCTAAGCAAATAATGATACCTAACAATACGCTAAGTTATCTTTATTGTCGATTACTTATTAATAAAATTTAATTTCTTTATCTCAGAGAATAATAGAAACAAAAACTAACAATTAAGCATGATGATCGGATTGTAAATTAGATATTAATAATAATGATATACATGTATGTATAGGTAAAAATAGTAAAATGATTAATAATACCGATACAATGTGTGACTCATCGCCCTAGTTTATGAAAAGAACTCATACAATGCAGTATAATGTATGCATTGATGAAAATCTTTGTTTATCGGACAATGAAAAATTTGTATGAGTTTGTAAATGAATAAACTTTTTTATTGATTTAATTGATGTATCAATGATTTGAAATTCCAACAATTTTGTTATGAATGCTAATAGAGTTTTTAATT